GGAAGTAGAGGGGAGGACGGGAAGATGAAATACTCGTGGTAGGTCCATATATGTACACTGAGAAGAGAAGCCTCATCAGAGGCGGAGGCGGGGAGCAGGGAGGAACCAGTTGTATAATCATTTCTTACTCTCACCGGGACAATGTTCGCGTCCACGTGGTCCCGCAATCGTTCATATTATTCAAAGACCTATTATGATTTCCAATGAGGAACCTGAACTCTAGTGCACGCCTCTGCTTCTATGGTACAAGATACCAGCTTCTAACAACTCTACGCACCTATCTCCTAAAAACCCCCCTCAACTTCCTTCATAATACTCGGGTTTCTACACCTTCTCCTTATCTTCCCTCCATTTCACTCTTCCTTTATTCATCCTTCTCTCTTCCTTCCCTCCTCCCTGATCCTTCACCCTTCAATCCCTCGAACCTCCTTATCCACTCAAACGAACTACTACAGTCTCGTTCTCAATCTTCCTAAACAAATCAGAATAAATACATAAGAAATATAGGTTCACTACACCAGAGAATGAAGTGAAACCCTCTCGCCCAGTCTTCCCTTTCCCCCTCCTGCCCTCCTGGCCGCTCCGCCGCTCGTTGTGTCCCTCGCGGCGGGCGCGGCCGTATCGCTTTCTTCCTCCTTCACGGCCTTTTGGTCTGACAACTCCGGTAGGCCTAGTTTTCTTTAAAAAATAAAAACTAAAATATATAAATAAAAAAAATTTTAATGTTGGTCTCCTCGCTGAGGGGGCTATACATTGTCGGAAACCAGATGAAGTCAGCATCGGGGCGGGGTTATAACATAGATTTAAAATCTATAATAAATAAAAATATAGTGAAGAGTAGCGCAGGAGTGTTCGTCCTCCTTACTTACTCCTTCCCCCCCGACTCCACCTGAGCTGTGCCCCTCCCCCTGTCTCCTCTTCACCCGTCGTCTCGCTCCTGCTCTACCTCCATCCTTATCCTTCGCCTCCCGTCCCTTCTCTCCCTTCCTCCTTATCCCTCTTCCTCCCTCACTCCCTTCCCTCACGACTCTCCCCTCCCCTCCCTTCCTTCCTCCTCTCCCTCGTCCCCTCTCCTTCACCCCCTCCTCTTTCCTTCTTCTCCCTCCCTCCTCCCTCCTTTCAACGTCCTCTCATGCCACTTCCCTCCTTACCCTCCCCCCCCCGTCCTAAATCAATAAATCCCGGTTGAAAATAATTCTGACGGCGGCGTGGCTGCGTCCGGGGTTCAGCTTTCGCGAAATGTCTCGTTGTGGTGGTCTGCGTCCTGAATATATATGAATGTTTATATGTCTTTTCATTTCTTCTCTTTCTTTCTATCTTCTTTCTTTCTCTTTCTTCTTCTCTTTTTCTCTCTCTCTTCTCCTTTCTTTTCTCTCTTCTCTCTTCTCTCTCTCTCTCGCTCGCTCTTTCTTCTCTCTCTCTCTCTCTCCTCTATCTCTTATCTTTGTCTCTCTTTTTTTTCTTTCTTTCTATGTCAATCTTGATTTTTTTGCCTCCATTTTTCCTTTTCTTTTTTTTAACCTTGGTTTCCTTGTATCAGCTTGACCTTTTTTTAAAGTTGTTGTTGCAATCTATTCCGATTTTATTAGATTATGAATATTATTTCCATTCAGTTTCGACAACAAAAGCTCTTCGTTAAAAAAAGAAAGAAAATTTCTTATAGAAAACCTTCGTAAAATTTTAGACGATCTTATAATATGGTTTACATCTAAATCTAATAATATATATATATATATATATATATATATATATATATGATTATATATATGTGTGTGTGTGTGTGTGTATATATATATATATATATATATATATATATATATATATATATATATATATATATATATATATATATATATATATATATATATATATATATATATATATATATATATATAATATATATATATATATATATATATATATATATATATATATATATTATATATATATAAACTTATATTCTATTTATTATTTATTTGTGTGTGTGTATGTGTGTGTGTGTGGTGTGTGTGTGTGTGTGTGTGTGTGTGTGTGTGTGTGTGTGTGTGTGTGTGTGTGTGTGTGTGTGTGTGTGTGTGTGTGTGTGTGTACATACATACTCATTATAATATATATATATATATATATATATATATATAATATATATATATATATTATATATATATATATATATATATATATATATATATATATATATATATATATATATATATATAATATATATATATACATATATATATACATATATATATATATATATATATATATAATATATATATATATATTATATATATATATATACATATTATATATATATATATATATATATATATATATATATATATATAATATATATATATATATATATAATATATAATATATATATATATGTATATATATTTACATATACATATATATATATACATATAATACATACATACATACATATACACATATACATACACACACACACACACACATAGATACATATATATATATATATATATATATATATATATATATATATATAAATATATATATATATATATATATATGATCTATTCCATATCTGACTGGTTCTATTGAATGTCTATGGTCACGTCACGTTCACGAACGAATCTAATTGGCTCATTTGATTTCCCGCGCATACGTCTTCGCTACAAATCCGTCCGACTTTTCGTCACGCTTAACGACTTTTTGTCATTTTGTCGCGTCGCTGGTCGAGTAAGGTTACTGCGGCTCCTGGAAATCGTGAATTTTATCTCCTAAATAACTCCGGAAAATGGCTTAGAAGAAAACTATCATGGAATGATGTGTTCTACCACATGGTAAAATCAGATTCTTAATAATAGGTGTGGGGTTGTATTTCCAATAATACCTATATTATATATACATACATATATGTATATATGTATATATATGTATATATATGTATATATGTATATGTATACATATGTATATATATTATGTAACACACACACACACACACATGTGTGTGTGTGTGGTGTGTGTATATATGTATATATATATATATATATATATATATATATATATATATGTATGTAATATATATAAACATATATATAAACATAGATATGATACTTATAATCAAGAAAAAGACCAAAAAATCAACAACGTGGCCTGGAAACAAGATTTCCATCGATCGCCGAATTCCACCTCCAAGAGCTAACTTATAATCCACATTAAAAAAAAAACAAATTGCAACTAAACAAAACAAACAAACAGAAATCCCCCAAAAGAAGACCCCCAAAAGAGAG